AACTTTGGCATCGGAATCGGCTGTTCTTCGTTATTTTTTTTATATATTAATGTTTTTGGGCCCTGTTCCTCTTCCATGTTTAGCAACTCTAGATCCATCTCCGTGATATCTTGCAGACGTTGTTGTTTTGGGAGATAAACACTCCCACCGGTGCCGCCGAAGTTCTCGTGAGTTCTTGAATAGGCTCCTTCTTGTGCTTTGGCGGGAAACTTCTGTGCGTCCCTAGAAATTCCAGACCGACGGTGCAGATGCATACCAGCAAAACTGGTTCATGACCAAACCCAAGTGACATTTGATGTGTATAATCTGCCCTTAAGACGCCACTTTTCAAAACCTTGGGATATCTAGCCATAGGTAATCAGGCCATGCCTTCTTTATGTAGATATGTGCCCCAGGCAACCAACAAACTCATCAATCAATATGAAAGTGCAGTGGTAATAGTGTGGGTTTTTAAAGACAACCTGACGTTATTTACAGAAGGTCTCCTTTGCTGTCTCCTGTTGCTTATTGGCACCCTGAGGAGTTCATCGTCCCTCCTTTTCTGCACTTGAAGAATGTCTTTATGAATACCCTATGCATGCACCATCTCTTTACCCTGTGCATGGAGGGGGGACTTCAGTGAAAGCTTCTAGCATATTTTTATTGCATGGGAAACAAGGTGTGACAGATAAAAGGCAATGAAAGAGCGTAATACACTTTTTTTACTGGAGTAAAGTTTCTTCTTCTTTATTGTAGTGTTTCTATTCAGATGGATGAAGCCAACTGGACAGCAGATGTATAAGAATGAAATATAGGAATCATGCAAAATTCTAGAGTTAAATGCATGTTTGAAATTGTTTTATGTATCTGTCAACATTTTGTCAAGTATTTTAAAGGACGCAAAACAGAAATTTACTACAGAAGAAGAGGAACATTTGGTTAGTTGAAATAATGATGTGGAACCTCTTGTCATGGTGTGTTTTGGTCCCTGTACTTGGGTTTATTGTGTTACAGCAGGAACCTCTCGCCTAACTGCCTCTTAGTTGGGCTTTAATAAAATGTCTTACGCCTACCTAACCTGTTTCCTTTAAATCCTTCAAATTGGCGTAATATGATACACGTGACTCATAATGGGACATACATGACTCCAGGGAGAATGTATATCTCTGACCCACTTTTCATCTTTCTCAGTGAAAAAGGTGGCCTTAGGTAACAGTAAGTCTTGCTAATCTAGATCTACTGTGTGTATTGTATTCATACAAAACTGAAAGTCATCTTTAACTTGTTTAAACTGGAGTGGAGGTATGATGTATTACAGTGTGTTGGTCTGTGGATAAAGGTTTATAGCAGCTGAAAGCAAACAGAAACCATCAAACAGCAAGACTCTGCCAGACAGATGTGGGAGTGAAATCACAGCAGCTACAGAGAGGCCATTCAGCCTTGGGAGACAGAAAGAAGAACCATGAGCATTTAAATGTGGATTGTTTTTTTTATTTATTTAGTCAAGTGAAAGAACAATTAAACATGTGAGAGCAGCTTACCGATCTTCTGGGAAAATTATATATATGTATTTTTTTTTACACTTAGTGGTGCTTACAGTCCACGTGTCAAGTTCTCAGCTTTTACAGTAAAACATTGAGGTTTAAAGCTCTTTTTTGTTTTAAAGAGAAATCCCTGTGACTCATTCTATGTGCTGTCTAATCTATTGTCTGTAAAAAAAAAAAAGAGGGAACAATAAATATGAGAACAGTCACGTTTTATCTTGAGCAGCTCTGATAAGGGATCAGTGAATCAAACAGGAAGTAGTCTAAAAATGACTCATGAAATGCATTAAAAGCGAAAATTTCAATTTTTAGTCTGTAATCAACACTATGGGAAGGAGCCTGAAGCACTTAATTTAATTAGGAAGCTTTTTCAATTTAAAATGTCTGAATTAGCATTGAGTTCCAAGCTTTATAGAGTACCCCTTGAAGCTTGGAACTCAACGCTAATTCTGACATTTTGAATTGAAAAAGCTTCTTGGATGGGAAGCGAAACGTTTTCAAAGTTGGAAAACAAAGTCCAGTGGTTTGTTTTTTAACATTTTTGGAATGACTATGACCTGGATGACTGAGAATCTTCACCATGTAGTGTAAAGCGCCTTGGTCAAGTCTCCTGAATTGAAAAAGCGCTATATAAGAATAGGCCATTTACCATATACTCTTAAGCTATAGTCCTTAATAGAACAATTTGAACAACAAACTGGAATTTCAAGGGCAAATCTGTGGTTAGAAAAATGCATCAGCCTGCAGTTTATCAGTTTACTTCTAATGAAAGCTGTAAATTCTTTTCATTTTCTGTTCTATCAATTAAAATGTAATGTCTGATTTCATTTACACTTCAATAATCAAAATCAGCAACAAAAGAGATGCTTTTTACTGTTTTATATCACACTATAATATTTTGCTGTATTTATGGCAAAGATATGATGAAAATCCATCAGGCAATGCCTTACAGTCTGTCATCATGAAACAATCCTGGTATTCGGTCTTGAGATTAAAAAAACTAACAAACAAAACACACAAAACTTATCCAACATAAAACAGGCTGCTAAAAAGCAAATAATGAGGATTGCATCTAGTCCTTTTTTTATTAAGTAAACTTGAGAAAACATTTCTTTATGCTTTTATGAAACTGAGGGAAGAATAATACTGAATAATTGCAAATATCAACAAAATGGTGTAATTCCAAAGAGCAGTGCATTCAAACAACTGTTTAAAATAAATTTGAATTAGGGACAATTCCAATTTCTGTGTACATTGCAAATGCCTTAAATAAAACACATATCAATAGCATAGTAATTCGCTCTAAGTTCTTAATTGGTTAAAGGAAATCGGTTGAGTATTATCTTTACTTTCTCATGTCTAGTTCTTCTGGATAAAACTGAATGTTAGAAAACATCTGTGAGGTGAAAAGTTGGTAACAAAGCTCCATCATGCTTCCTAAGTGGTGTAAAGCCACATCATAGCCAAAGCCACTATATCAACACCTTTACATCCTGTCATTTAATGCGTCTGGCTGCAGATTTAATTGCTCTGCAGTTCAAACAAGGAGAGTTTTACTGCTGCAAGTTCAGCCTTATTTGATTCAGAACCATGTGTCTTTGCATCATGCAGGTCTCCTCTTACTGTTGCCGGACACTTGAAATCCCCGTGTTTGACTGAGAATTAACTAATTTGTGTTCTTTTGTTCATGTTAAAAAACTCTCTGGAGTATTTTTGCATGCCCTCAGGCTCTGCACATAGCAAGCACATGCAAGCTCAGACATAGTATAGTGCAATTTTTCTCTCTTAAATGAAAGCCTCTGAGTGTTCAT